CTTTCGCACTTATTATTATTATTGAAACTAATAGTAACCATCTTCTATAAACAGAAATTTCCATCATAAATCTCAAAATATCTGAGCGCCTCTCGGGGATGGGCTTATAACTTTTTAACTTAGTTTATCTTCTGTTCATTGGTCTAATATATCTCTGAACCAAATTTCGTCTCAATCGGTCCAGCCGTTTAGGAATGCATAAAGGACAAACAGATATACAGAAATCCATTATACGTATAAATATATATAGACTATAGGTACAAGATACTTATAAAATATCATAATTTATTATTCATAAGAGGATTATTTCAAAGACCAAACACAAATATCTTGTACACGCGCGTGTGTGTGTATGGCAACATTACACATACGTACGTGGATAAGCATATTATATATTAAATAGGCACTGAATATATAAATATCTATATGTATATACGAAAAATTATAATATAATCGTAGGTATTATTCAGTATTCTTAAACAGTTATACTAAAGGATAATAAATATATATCTATATGTAATATGTATATAATATGTAATAATAAGTACGAAGTTGATATGCACGAACAATGATGATTAACAGYTAAACACTGTTCGGGGTTGCCGATTCGCATCGACACACACAGCAAGACGGGAACAAAAACCAATCCATGAATATCCCTTTGCAGTCGTTGTCGGGATCGTACGCTAACAGTCTGTGCCATTTATACTTTTGTTCGCATCCACAGTCACCTGAACAGCGTGCCGTCAACGTTTTGCTGTAGAAATAAAAAATTATTATTGCAATTTTTTCTCCAGCCATGTTTAGGACATTTACTAAATGCTGAAGGTGTATACATATGGTAATGGTTATTGGCTGTCGATGTTAAATTAAAAAAAAACTTTTTAAAAGAATTACCTTGCATGTGTACAATATACTCAATACTCAATAGAGAGTGGAGTCGACGGGCTTTTTTGAATGTAATTTTTAAAAAGAAAGTTTAAAACAATGTGACCACTCTGTATCCTATGAAAATAGGTAAATTATTTTGATGAGAAAAGAGATAGTTTKCTTTGGTYGCAAGATGTTGTTTCTTTTTTCAGTTAAAATGTTTTTAAATTTAAATTAATTGTTATTACACTATTTTGTACTTTTCCAATCAAAAGTGATTTTTTTAGTATTTAAATTTCATAATACGAAACGATTGAATATTGAGTCATTGAGTCGATGGACAATAGTTAGAACTTGCAATTTTAGAATCATTTAAGTAGTATGTAAACATTAAATAATAGGTATTATCAAATACCTACTATACATTTGCTGTTGTTAAATTTTTTTTTCTTTATTTGAAAATATACAATCTATACCTGTTGGCATAATAAGTATATTATGTGTTCTGAGTATAATTTTTAAATTACAGTAATGTATTAACATATTGTGTAGAGAAATCATCCATTAATGACATTCGTAGCTTGCTTTTATTTATTTCTCTCTTTTTTTTTTTGATTGTTAAAAATAACAATTAATTGATGAATAAGTTTTAGAATATTTATAGTCAGTTTGATTCACATAAATATTAGTTATTTTGTTTTGTGTTTTATTTTTATTGACTCACGTGCAGACTTCTTGATGAATAGCTTGTTCGAAGTGTTCGGTGTTAACGATCGCTCTTGTCTTACCAACGCTGTTAGAAGCCCAATAYGGAGTAACCACTTCTACTTTAGACTCGCAAGAGTCAACCCTGTAAAATTAAACTCCAATATTAATTGGTTCTAGGTAATATGCATACGAAATCAATCGCAGTAAAATATGTAGGTAGTTACTATAGTTGTTGTTGTATTGTTATTTTGTAGGCATTTGTGATATTTGACCTTATTATTAGCGGCTAAAGTCATTCAGATATTCTAACGCAAACCTATAAATACTTAAGAACCCATTTAGGTACATGTACCTACCTGCGGAAGAAATCTCGACTTCTTCAAAAACTCAAATGTTTTTCTATAAAACTTATAGTCATACAAATTTGCATTCCTACATGATATTTACTCTAATTATACAGTTACTTATAAATAACTAAAAAAAATAAAAGTTATAAATTATAATATGATGCCTCAATAATGATTAAGAATGTTTCTGTTTTCTCGAAAACAAATAAATTTTATATTCACAATTATGACGAAAATATGAAGTCAACTGTTATAAATAATGTTATTTAGGTAGATAAAATGATCCTAAATTATTTATTTAATGTTTTAGGAAATGCATTACCTAGATAAAACATTGCATAAGTAGGTACGTATAAAAATTATGTTATATGTATGTAGTGGGTAGGTATACACAATTGTAAGTAGGTACCTACATTCTAATGGTTTTGTATAATATACAGATATTCAGTAGATAATATGTAGGTATTATACTCAATTATGATGTTATTCCATAATAATATCATCAATAAAATATAATATTATAGTTATTATATTGTTTTATAATAATTGTGATTTGTGTTATATAACTGGTACTGTAGGTATTAAATATWATATAGTCAAACGACTTATGCGAAAGCCCGTTTTTTCGTTACAGTGGKGAGATTTAGGTTTGGCGGCATCCAGTATAAAAATATGTATATTCTGTAAGGACGTAACAAATTTATAATTTATTACTGTTTTATTACATAGGTACCTAATCAACAATTAGTGAAAATAATATGCATCTTTTTAGTTTTTATAAGATATTAATGAAAAACAAAAAAACAATATAATAGACTTGGCATTCGTTATTATTTTATTTCGTTTGAAATGTTAACGTTAATCATGTTATTAATTAATAATACTAGTTATGCTCTTATAATTTATCTTTAAGATATTTTATATTTAATTTTAATAGTTTTAAACAAATACCGATACTCTTGTCATGTACTAAGTTATTTGTGAATTTGACGGTGACGTGGTGTGGTATCTTAAAACTTCAAAGTGTAGTTTAGCCAGTTTAGGGATATATGTCCTAGTTGACATGCCCTAGGGCCACCGCTAGTTTTGATGACAAAAACCATTTACCTACAAGAACGTTGCAGTACACCTTGAAGTTAGCCATAAGGACGAGTAAACAAAAACACATTATTTTTGTGGCTATCATATAATAGAAACGTTCACGGCCGTCCTAAGTTATTTTGCAACCAGGTGCGATTGAATAATTATCAATAATATTTAAGATTCAAATGCCGCTCTTAATAATTATAACCACTCAAAATTGTCGCCCAGTGCCGACGCGCTGATTGCATGCGCCTTAAACCCTGAAAACGCCTATATTTTTATGAATCGCGAAGATATATATATATATGTGTGTGACGTGTGTGTGTGTGTTACTGTCAATTATGTAAATTAGGCAATAACGTTAATGTCTAGCCAATATCATAAACTCCTAAAATTAGTAAACAAATCGTCAATGCCTAGGTATTAGCTAGCTGACAACGTAGGCAATGTGTGAAAATCAAATATTTGTTAACACATTTATTACCATGAATAGAGAATTACCTCAATGTATAATATTTATAGACGATGTTGATMATTTTGTATAGTGAAATATTTGAATTGGGTCAGAATTTTATTAATATGAGATAAATTATACATGATATTATTACTTAAATAAAATACATCGAACGATTCATTYTWACAATTTGATGTACTGTACACTTTGAAGGTAAGTAGGTAGGTACTATATGYAGATGTTAGTTACCTGCATGTTATGCAATGTGCTAGTAGGCGTACGTAAATACAAATATTATTATTTAATGCAGGGTGGTCCGACTATAGCGGCTTTCTAAGCCTTTTTTTTGGCCCTCATTAAAAGACATAATATTATAATATTTAATAATTTTAGTATTATGAGTGTGATAAAAATATTTGATTTAAAATTTTTTTAATATGTCTGAAAATGTTCGGAATTATTGTCATTACCTACCTAGAAAGTATTTCTAAATACACCATTGCCCGAAGATAATGGYCATTAACGTTACCTCTTACCTATTTCCTAATCAATATTGTGTATCGTTTAATTTGATCGAAAATATCGTTATTGATGACTAGTCATTAAAGTCAATTTCTTAATTTACGTCTTTGCCGGCAAAATGAATTGTGTGTTACGAAAACAATTAGTACAGTATGAAGCAATGAAATGTCGAGTTTGGTACAGATCAGACGACCTGATTGAGAGCGTCGCGAAGAGCATCGAACAAAACTTATGGAGAACTC